GCGGAACCGCGCCCCTCGCCCGGAGAGTGAGTGCCAGCGGGGGCGGGGGGCGCGCCTCCCGTGGCGGTGGGGGATGGATCTATACTATATACATAGATAGATAGAGATATACACACACATACATATACACCACGGTGGGCTACTGCCGGGGGGGTTGGAAAGGGTTCGGTGAGGTCAGAACGGCCAAAAATGGTGACTCTAGTGCAACCATATATGCTGTTGCAGCAGTAATTGAACTTTGTTACTGTTGAGCCTAAGCGCAGGATCACCTCCTCCTCCGGTGGTTCGGAGTGTGGGGCCTGAAAATGCCTTAAATTCCGAGCGCTATTCGGTGATAGTCGGGAAGCAAGGAAATAGGTGGTCACCCCTGCTTGTTTTTGTTAGAGGCTTGCGGAAATGGAAAAGAAGTAGTCAATTGATTGACCCTCATCCTCAACTGTAATGCTAGTTTCATTGGCTAACTTTTGACAAAGCGTAAAACCAGCCATTTTACAAGAGCTGGCTGGCTGGAGCTCTCTCTGTATACATTTTGGAGAGACACTCTTGCAATCAAATGAAAAACTGGAAAAGCAACAAACTCAAGTGTTTTCAGAAATGACTACAGGAGCACATGTAAGTTTCTTAAATTTGACTGTGCCAGTATGAAGTTGCTAATGCAAAGTGTGAGAAAGTAGCATTTCTTCAGAATTGAGCCCAATTCCCTAGTGCCATAAATTCAGAAAACCCATAAATGGCAATGCAGCACACTTTGGCATTTGTAGATAGATACTTTAACATAATTTTCACAAAGCTCTTTTAAGTGCATTATCTGCCGCGCCAGCAAACATGGCAATTACAGTTAGCCTTGCAGACTTTGACTCGGTTGTTACATGAGGGTATGATGGATGAAATAATAAAGAACAATATAATTTTTTGTTTGTTTACTTTTGAGTATGTGATAGCTTTTAATATATCTAAAGTCCCCGTTTTCTTGGCTGGGTGTATCTCTGCCTTTGCATTAAAATTTGTAGATTACGCCTGAGAGCTCGGGCTCCTGCTTACATTTTCCTGTAGGTCGTACCTGAGTTGACAAGCAGGATAAAATCTAAGGGGTGTTGTGAAGAGAAAGCTTACCTTTTATTGAACATCACTGGTAAGGTGAAGATCATGAAACCTTACAGAACTGAACCTGTGGATGAGGACTAATACAAGGACATTGTATTCAAGGACATATGGCATTCATAGCACAGAATGGAGAATGATGTATTTTGGAGTTCTGCACCCTGATTTGATATAGAATTAACATAAGCTGAAAAAAATAAACTCACTTCTCTTGTAGTTGGGCTCTGTGCTTCCTAGAAGATGGGGTGTTATGGCGAGGATGGGATTGAGTTGCCTGCAGGGGCTTGGCGTGGCTTCTGTGCCTGCTCTGTGTCTTGTGGCTGGGGGCACCCGGGAGCCAGGAAGCCCGTGGTGCGGAGGGAGCCAAGGGAGATGCAGCCTCTGCCGCTGCCTCCCTCTCAGCGAACCTTGCTTTTTCTGTCAGCTTCCACTGGTGAGCCACTCCCAGCCCTCTGCTCTCTGAAAAAATACAAGTTATATGTATCTGGTGGGTCCTGGCTGTAGAAGGATTCCTGGGTTGCAGTTTATATCATCATGGGACTTGGCAGTTGCAGACTGAAGAGCTGCTCAGTAACGTAAGCTTCATGGTCGTCTTGTCATATTCAAAATACCTTTTTCAGTTCCCTCCAGAGGAGTGGTAAAACCTATGAAATATTTAGATTGGCACATGTGTATGCTTTAATTCTGCTGGGAATTTCCATGGCTGTTATTGCTGAAGACTTGTTTTAAATACAATGTTTACTACTTTAGTTAGTGCTTCAGGAATGAAACTGACAGGAGAATTGAAACTCTTTGGTAACAAAATACCCACTGCTTAGAAAAAATGCTTGTATTGATGCTTCCTATTTTTACAAAAAATCCATATTTAGCTTTTTCGCATCACTTGCAGAATCCTTACCAGTGTAACTTCTGTAGAAATTTTGTATCTGAGCCCCTTTTACTTGAGGCTATGCTGAAGGTGAGCAAGTTACTGCGGGTGCGACCATGACAAAAATAATGAGCAGCTGCTATAAGTTTCGGCCTTTGCAGCTTGGTAAAGAGTGATCTGTGTGTCATCACTTGTTTTTTCAGTTGATCAAACTGCATTAGAATTTTCTGCTTTATGGGAGCCAGATCATTGGCCTGCAGCTGAAAAAAGGGTGACAAACACTTCCTGCCCCTCGCCAGGCCATTCTCCCCCAGCTCTGGCAGGGCTGCCGAACCTTGCCTGCAGTCAGCCCTCAGCTGCTGGAGTTTGCTCCAGAGGAAGGTGAACGGCGGGGAAGGATTGCCCAAGCTCCTGCGGTTGAAGCTGTTGTCAAATATCTGTTGGGTTTCCTGCTATTGTGCAAATTCCTTTGGCTGAGGCATTTGAGAGGCCATTGCCACTTCTGGAGAAAGCTTTAGCTATGTTTAGAAAAGTTGCATTGGTGTAGGTTCTTAGGGTTTTTTTTGTTTGGTCACCTTTATGGTGAAGTAGAACAGATGGTTCTTCATATGATGCCCTTCCTCTTCTGTTAAAGAGGAATAGAAACTATTAATTTATTTTTTTTCCACTGTGTTTTAGGAACACTTCAAGAATGAGTCCACCACAAGATAGAAGTAGAAATTCCTGCAGCAGTGAGCCTCTGGCAAAGTGCCTTCAAGCAAAGAAGGACTTGGAAACAGCTATCTCTGGAATTGTCAAAGCTGAACAACAGATTAAAGAGAACTGGCGGGAGGTAATTTTAAATTATTTTCAAAAAACTAACATGACTTTAGTGATGGTTTTTATTATTCCAGAGTACTTTCTATTGTGATGATGGTCTGAAATTTTCCTAGACTTGCAAGCATCTCGCTGTGTAATTTGGTCATGCTCTTGATAAAGGTATTCCTATATTACTAACTAGGCATGCAGAATTTACTAAAGCTGTTGGCTGGAAACATCGGAATAGAGAGGTACTGTAAACAAGACTGTTCTTTGAGATTTCTTTAAAGGCAGCCTTGGAACTTTTACTAACTTGAGTCATGTGGTACTGTGGGTGACTGTGGCTAGTTTTTGCGAAGTAAATTGGTCCAAAAATACCACTTATCTGTGACAAATATTATTTTGTAATCGGCGCAGCGTATGCTTGTTCATGCTCTTTGACAGGCGTTCTAGAAATGGTACATGTTACCTTACAGGTAAAGGCCAAGATTCACAGCCACATAAGCCGCCACCTGGAATGCCTGCGCAGTCGTGAAGTTTGGCTGTTTGAGCAGGTCGATCTCATTCAGCAGCTGAAAGAGGAGGCGTTGCAGCAGCAGGCGCAGCAGCTTTATTGGGTGAGATTTGGCTTGTAAATTTTTAAGTAAACTTTTTCCTTGCAAGTATTTTGTCAGTTTTAACCTTAGAAGCCAAAATGGTAACGCGTGTTTTGTCTTCCGTGCAGTATTTGGGACAATTCAATTGCCTTATTCATCAGCTGGAACGCTCCTACAGTAACGAGCTAGCAAACCAGATTTCAGTTTGCCTGGAGAGGTAAATATATTTTATGATGCAAGTTAACACAACTGGTATTTATTTTGACTTATGAAGTTAGTCTGATTTTTGATTCTGGTAGAATTAATAATAGATCTAACTCCTTGTTTCCACATTTTTAATGGTTCCTAGAAATAAGATCTTTAAAGCAGTCTGAGATATGATTCCTCTTATCTTTTTTATCTTAGATTGAAAAACAGGACTATAACGAGCAGTGAAGGTACTCATTTGTGCAAATTATTTCAAGTATTAGTTGTTGATGGCAACTGAAGTAAGAAGGAGAAACTTGTTTTTTGCTGGCTATTTATTCTGTTCTTGGTTTGTGGATAGGCATCTCTTTATTTTTATGCAAGTATTAAAAGTCTTTCTGTTACCTAATTAGTGCCAAGTCAGTTTTGGAAGCCTTTTTATGAAATAATGGATTGATTCCCAAAACATGACAGATGAAGAAGATAGTTACAAAAAGAAAAAAAAAAAAAAATTACAATCACCTTACTCTTTCAGACTGGGAAGTCTTACTCTTAAACCAGAGGAGTCTTCCATCCTGAATTTTGAGGCTGACACTTCTTACCTTCGCCAGGCTATTACCTCATTTGGTTCAATTAAAACAATGGTAAGCACCAAGACTTTCCTGGGTTGGAATATTTGAAAAAAAAAAAAATCTTTTTTAAGGCAGTAATGCCATATATTCCAAGTGATATTTCTACTTTTAGTTTTAGCTTGAATGGATCTCGTGTATGAGTTGTATAGTTTTAGCTGTATAATATATACACAGTGGTTTATTAACTATTGCATGTACTTGATTTTGACTGAGCATAGATCTAGGAATGGACATGTTATTTTAATATATTTTGGCTGAGACTGAGGGAATGATGATTATGTTCTTGCTCTATTCCAGCAACTGAAAATTAATGTTATGGCTTTCTGGCTTTCTTTAGCTATTAACACTTACACATAGTAGATGGCTTTCTGTGATAGAAGTATTTGGGGTTTCTTATGTAAGCAGCGTATCTCCTGTATTATTGGAGATAATTCTCTTAAAGGAAGTGGACTGAAGGTACCATTTTTGTAGTAAATCTTCCTCCTTTCTGTTCTTAAATGTTGAGAAAATCGTTAGCCACAAAAAGATGACCGTAACTTGTGCTTTACTTCCGCTTTATTGTGGAATTAATCCTAGAAGCTGGACAAAGACGAGATTTAAATTAACTTTTACTTTTCTTTCCTTACAGCAAACCTCAGAGAGAGAGAATACTCCTCCCTGGTTTCCAGGGCAGAATTGTGCCCTAATGAACTGTGAGCAGGTAAGGATGAAGACTTGTATCTGAATGTTTAATTGTATTAAAGGGAAAAGGAGAACTTGAGCGCAATACATTAGCTCGCTTAAGTAATGGCTTCTGTTTGTTTGTTAAGATGTTTGAGTAGCCAGTAACAGTCGCTGTGGCGAGCATTAGTGATCTGATGTTGTAGCTGCTCCAGGAACAGACGTGCAAGAATGTAATATGAAAGTGAATTTGGCGCATGACAGAATTTTATAACTGAGTATTCCTTGATGTTGTCGAGTCTGTTGTCTTGGAACTATCAGATTCCTTTTAATGCAGATGTTAATGGGAAATCTTAGTTGGGCTCTGCACAGAAACAGCATCAGTGAAGGTGGGTAGCAGATTAGTAACGGGAATTGTGGTCAGAAGGAGGGTTATGGCTGGGTTACACGTATCGGAACTCTGCGTTGTAGAAGTTGTTGGCTTCTCTTTCTTGTCATTTGCTCTCTGAAGATCACAAAAGATCTCTCTGGGATCACAAAACAATCTATCAGTGCAGTGGCTTAAAGTCATACAGGCGATTGAAGAGTTACTTTTTTCTTAATTGGAAGGGACTGGTTTTTCTTTTGGTTCAGAAATACCGATGCATGTTGAATGTCTGTTTTGAAGTTCACCACAGATGACCTCAGCAATGAGACTTTCTCATAACTGAGAGCATTCTTTCTCAGCAGAAAACATTGTGTGGGACAGTGAGCGCCTCACTTGCTGACTGGTTACTTGGAAGCAGACCGGTGGGTGTTTGCCAGGCTCCGTATGTTCCCAGCACCAACCTTGAAGACTGGGTTACGCAAAAATGTGTGTCAGAGCCCAGCCAGGTAAGCCTTTTTTATGCACTAACCTAGTTTTTAATGAAGAGGAAAACATCACATCCAATTGCAGGCGTAATATGGTGGGAATTAAACCTTCTGTAATTCTCTTCACTCTGCCTCATGTTCAACTAATGCTTTTGCTCTTACTGTCAGAATGCCCAAACTGTAACTGGGCAAACAGTTACTGAACATTGCCTTTTAGTGTTAACAGATGCGTTTCAATGTGTCTTTACTAGGATTTCAATTCTTCCAAAGTCTGTTATTTTGAGCAAGCCTGGGGAAATCTGAAAGATCTGGAAAACTGGCTCCTGCAGAACCAACAGCGTGATGTTGCTGGGAAGATGGACTCCCCTGGCCGCAAGGACTCCACCTCTACTTTCGACTCGTCCTTTTCCACTATTGAAAAAGTGGAGGAATTGGAATCCCTTGGACAAGAAGAGATGGACCTTTCTGACTGGCTGCTTACTCCTGACACAGAAAATGGAAGTAGTGCTTCAGATGAGAAATGGAAGTTTGAATTCAAACCTTTTAGGGAAGAATTTAATTTGAATGATTGGCTCCTCAAAGCTGAAACCTGTACCAGTTGTCGTGGCAGCCAGATCAAAAGCGTGGAAATTGAGAACCTGGGAAATCTGAAGTGCCTGAATGAGCATCTTGACGGAAAGAAATCACCCACTACATCTGCTGCAAATGCTTGGCTGCTTCAGCATCCCCAGGCCCCCTTTAAGGTGGAAGATGTGTGCAAAGCTAACGAGCTGTGTGCCAGCTTCTCGGAGTGTGTGTGTGATGAAAACTGTGGAAAAGAGGCTCTGTGTAAATGGCTTCTGAAGAAAGAAGGGAAGGATAAAAATGGAGTTCCAGTCAGCCAGAAGGATGTACCAAACCCTGAGCAAGAGAAGGCAAAGTCTGTGGCCAGTACCTGGCTTAACCCTGCACAGCAGCTCACAGGGGAACCCATTAGTGCAGAGAAAGCAGATTATTCAGCAGAGATCGCAGAACCCTTGAAAGTATTGCTTGAAAGGCCCCTGACAAGCTGGCTAGCCAAGTCTGAGCATAAAGCAGAAAGTGCAGAAGAAAAGGCGAGTAGGGAAAAAGCAGATAATAGTTTCAAGAGTCCTTTCCTAGACCTCTTGGCTCCATTCCACCTCCCCTTGAATGTAAACAGTTGGGTGTTGGCTTCAAACAACCCAGAAAATGCTAACCCGCCTCCAGTGGAAGATAAATGGCTTCTACGCAAGAAAGCACAAGTGAGCATGTTCCTAAGTTTTTGTTACTGCTGTGTCTTAAGCCAATGTGCCGGGTTTATGGTTTTTCTGAATTTAATGCCTGCCTTCTCTTCCAAATTCATAGCTTTTCTGGGCAATACTGACTGACAGTTTTTTGGTTTCTTAGCTCGTTTAGTCTTTTCAGTGATTATTACTTAGTTACATAAGTAGATGAGGCTAGCATTTTAACACAAAACAAGCTGATTTTGAAGTATAGCTAGCCTTACTAGCTAAAGGAAGAAAGTATTCATCTCCAAGGCTCAGAAGTCAGTTTTCTTTTCTTTGTGAACACTTGACAGAATTTGAAGATGCATCAGAATGTATTTATACTTGGAGATCAGTAATTAAGGTGACCTCTCTTTCAGGACTTTGGCCTTCCTACAGTCTGCGACCTTTTTGCCTGTATGAAACTCAATGGAGATAAAGAAAAATGGCTGTATCGGACTCCCTTACAGGTAGAATGCACAGAATGTATTAGAACAGCTGAGCCTAAACATAACCTGGGGGTACAGAATACAGAAGATGGCAGCTAATTGACATCTTCAGAGTTCTCTATATGTAAGGTTTAACAGCATTGTGATTTTTCTCCCCCTATGCCTTTTTAACAGCTTGGACCATTCCATATTTTCATTATTCCTCCTCTTTTGATCACAAGCCAGGGAGGGAATTACTTATGTTCTTGAGTAAATCACTCTGATTGACACTTGGTAAAATCTTGGTAACTTCTCTTGTAACGAGAATGCGCAATTAATGTCTAAATGTCCAGGCAGCTTCCTTATCTCAGTAGTGTATTTACAGCTGATGTCGCATCTCTCCTCTCTACCAGATAACTGTTTATAATTATTTTTGAAATTCATGGAAAAAGTCCTTCTTAGCAGGTGTACTTCAAACCCTAAAGGGCAAGATATTCAGTTCTAGGAATTATTTTAATATGACTTCCCCCCCCCCCAGGATGTCTTATACATGTTTTTTTCCAACAGTATTGCTTGCTGTTTATCAAAGGGAATAACCCAATTTTAAATTTGTTTTAGATGTGAAGAACTGGAAGTGTTGAAATCATCCCCTTCCTGCCGATCAATCACACATCAACGCTGAGTGACTGCAGCCAGCTGAATTCTTGTGTTTGTGTTTGGCCGTCTGCTTTTTCTTCTAAAATTATAACAAAGATTACTCATATAACAGAGTTACAGTGCAAAGATGCCTTTTTGTTCTGATTAATTCTGAAATGTAAACCCACTAAGCATAAGCAATCTGATACTATAGAGGTGTTAGTAAATTCTTGTCTGTTATGGGACTAGGTGAATCTTCTTTAATGGGTTGTCACTTGAAGTATATTGAAGCCAGTGCAAGTATAAAGCAAAATCTCTCTGGTGCTGTGAAACATCCACCTTTGGCAGTGACTTCAGAAGCGTTGCCATTCTCTTTCAGCTGCTACAACTTTGTCATGAGTTGGGTTCCAGCTTATTGGGATTGTAAGATAACTTAGGCTGTATTTGGAAGCAATTTCTTTTATTGAGCAGTTGCTCACTTTAAAGGTTTCATTTGTATCTTCTATTGGTGCGTCTCCCGGCTGAGTACGTGTAGTCCAGATTTTGAAAAAGACATGAATTTATGGGACCTGACACGTTGCAGGAGAATTGGTAACTTCTGTTTTGAATGAGAACTTTCTTGCAAATTTTTGAGCCATTCAGAGAACAGGGTAGGGTGTTAATTTTCATGCATCAGTAGATCAGATCCTACCGTGTCCCCAGCATTTAATAACTATTTGAATTTCACTGAAAAAGCTGTAAGGTGGAATGTGTACATTTCTGCTAGTTTTAGGTAATTAATAATGAACTTTTATTGGTTAAACCACTGGAAAGCAGGCATCTTAGCCACATAATATTTAAAGGTAATATTTGGGGAATTTGATGCCTTGTCATGCTGTTTAATTGGGAAACACTAACTTGGCAAACTGTGTGGCTCCCACTGATCCATTTGTAAGATACTTAAGCTGTGGATTTCCATGTTGTTATGCATGTGAAAGTGGGGCGGAGTAACTGATCCCTATAGCTGCAGACATAGCATGAGCAATACCTGTTTAGGTAGTGTTTTGAGCCTATAGGAAGGAGTGTGGAGATGTTGGATGGAAATGTGGATCATGCCTGTCAGCTTGCATAAAAAACTGTGAAGTTACATAGTTTCTGGTGCAGCTTCTACTCATTTAACAAATCGCTCTTAATGACTATAAATATAGCCTCCCCTTCTCCCCATCCCTGCAGCCTGCCTGGGAATAGAGGTGATTTCAGTTCTTCACAACACTGTAAAAAAGAAATTAGTACCAAGATCCAACCTTGGTATCACTTTGCAGTGTGAACACATTCCCTTCTGATAGAACCTGTGCATCTGGTTTAAAAGTAAGTTTTTAGTCTGAGAGGGGGACACTGCACATCTGAAACCAGACCCCAGAAAGGGCTTAATGTCAGTGGACCACTTGAGGCTTCTGTTCTTTCTGGAAGCAGAGAGATGTTTCTGAAGTTCACTTTCCCCTTTGAACGTGTCCTTGTTGCTGCATGGGAAGACTGCACTGTGACTAACTCCAATAGTAGCCTAATTTGATTAGCAGTTGAACTTAATGAAGGTGATTTGACGTGCAGCCCACCTCTTACAATTCCTTGTAGTTGTCATTGTGTGCTACTTTGTCAGTTCATTATGAGCCTTTAAAACTTGGGGGTATGTATTCCTTTACTTACTCAACTGACTTGTTATCACTAATTGATATTTATGTAAAACATCGATTAGTCTTTTCCATTAAAAAATAATTGCACCCAAAGGTGTGGTACGTCTCCTTTGCACAATGGTTGACAAAAAAACGCTGCGGCACGTTGCACAGTTCACTTTGGTTTGGATGCTGCCGTGCTTCTGTCCCTGTATGGGATTTGCATGCTCTACTTCCACGTTTCACCGCTCCCTGCCGTTGCGCGGAGCCCTGCTGTCAAAGCCAGGAAACCCTGGCACCAGCCGCACGCCCAAGGGGTAACTCCTGTCTGTTACTGCACCGCCACATCAGCCCCTGGGCACAGGGATCGTGTGTCTAAATCACCCGGCCTTTAATCAGCTGCTGTAGGAAATACAGAATGATGTTTGTTTCCTGTCACCCTTGAATACTTAAGGAGGGTTTATGGATTTTAGTGGCCTTCAGTCCTCCTGTGGCTGTAGAACATCTCTGGTCTGGCTGCACAATTAGACGTTGGCTCCTTTCTGGCTCCTCTGCTTTCCTTTGTGTTCCTTTTTGAACATCAGACTCCCTGCATGTTTCAGTCCTCCTTTGAGGTTTTTCCATTCCTTTAAACTGGCAGAAGTGACTTAATCCAGGCTGCGTTGTAGCATTAAGAGAACAGTCTCATGAGAGGGTGTGCAGCTGGGCCTGGCAGCCTTTCAACCCCAACACCTGGAATTTCATGCGTGGGTGTGCACATGCAGTTTTCAGGAATGGACTAGAGTTCTTTGTTAGAAGCAGCCACATGCAGAACTCCTGAACACATATCCTGAGTATGGCTTTCAAAGACAGGTAGAAAAATACCAGGTCTTCCCAAGACAAGGAAGATGGAGTAGCAAAAGCAGAGAATGCTATTCCTGGCTTCTCTGGATAATACCTGGAGACCTTCTTTTGAGCAATCTGAGATTATCAGATTGGACTGAAGAGTGGGGTCCTCTCTGAAATGCTCTGTTCTACTCCTCTCCCTGTGGAGCTGGAGCAGTTACCTCCCGCTTCTCCCTCAGCTGAGTTTCTGGACCAAACGAATCCTCGCAACTTGCTTCTGTGCAAAATCCCCGCAGCGCCTGGCATTCGGCAGCACAGGCCAATACTCACAGAGTACACAAAGCTCCACTTCAAACATACCAATTTCCTAACTATCTAGAATCTATTATGCACAGGGGTAACCTCCTGTTAAAGCATCAAAAATGGCTTCCGCTCTCTCTTTGCAGTCCCAGGTTAAGTCAGAGGAAAGAAGCTATGAACACTGGATCATTTTTCTGCCCTAGCATACATTTCCCTTCTGTTTTCAGAAGCAGCTTCTGCTGCATTGAGGAAGCTGGAGATTCCCACCACATGACTAGTGCTTTTTCAACAAATTCCCCCAAATGTAAGAGAAGTCACCTGCTGACAGGGAATGGTGAAATTGCCTTTCTCTGTTGCAAAGACTACACACAAGCAGCTTTACAGGATTCGAAAAGCTTTCATTACACCTGTTATCTCAGATGCCCTCACCTGCTGCCACAGCATGGAAAGCTACCTTGGATCAATCAGCAAAACCAGGTGCCATGACTGGCACTGCAAGAGGATAAAACATCTCTCTTTACGACAGCCAAGGTCTCCTGTGCTCACATTTATGTAACACTGCATGGGAGGACTGCAAGGGGGTTGCCAAATCCTGTTTGCAACTTGATTTTACTTCCTCTTATTCCTACTGAACTCGGATATGCTTCTGGTCACAGCTTTAAGTAGCAACTTTATACTGATTGTTCGCCGTTGAACTGTGACCGCAGTCAGCCTTGATAAAGATGTTCTCTGTATTCCACACTTACAACTTCCCTCCCTCGCTGCTGCCTCCGTGCTGGTTGCATTTCATAGCTCAAGCTATGCATCACTCCATATACAAACAGGTTATGAACCAAAGCCTTTAATAGCCCTAGAAACAGCTATTTCAGAAAAATGCACTCGGCTCTGCCTCCGAGGCAAGCGATTCCAGGAAATTTGAGGTTACTGCAGACCAGATAACATGCTACATTGCCTCAGGAGCCAGCCTAGCCTTAAGGTTGTGGTAACTTTGAACTTAAAAAAGCTTGTTCCTACAAGTATCCTACAACCTACAGTATCTCCACTGCACCTAAAGGAGGAAAGACATTCGTTAAGCTTCACAGCTTTCCCATTTCAGTTAGGGGCTGAGAGCTCCTGGGTCATATTTCAGTACCAAAAAAGTCTCTAACAAAACTACAAGACACATTGCAGAGTTCCTGACACCAGAGCAACCCTCTCGCACCATCAGCCCCCAAACTGGCTATCAGTCCTTCAGCCAGCATCGCCCAGTGTGTGGGAGTGCAAGTCCTATTAACCAGCAAACAAGAAACATGGCGAGAAGGAACTCACTGATGCCCATGGGGAGAGAAAAAGCAGCTCAAGAATGAAAGTGCACACATTTTCCTGATGTCCCACCCAATAGTGCTGCGCAGCTGGTGCCTACATCACCTGTCTGCAGCTCGTAAGTAGGACAGCTTCTTTGATGGCATGGCCCTCAAAAAACTGCATGCTAGAAGGTCCAGCTCTGACACCGCAGCAGTAATACGCAGCCCACTGAAAGACAGTGGAACATAAGGGTTAACAAGAAACAGCATTTATGAAGCTGGTGAGAAAAGATCCGTTTGCTTTCCTTTACGCTACATCTAGTTAAGTGCTGGCATAAAGCATCTACTTTGACCTGGTATCCAAGCAAAGCTAATTGAATTCAACTGTGAAGGCTCGTTAGCTAGAGCACTTGCTCTATAAAAAGTTAGTCTGAGAGGTCACCTCCTCCTAAATAGGCATCTCAGCAAAGCTGAATTTCTTCTTGGAGGAAGGTAAGAGCTACCACCTTCCCTCTACTGCTTTTTTTTGTTGTTTCTTGAGTGCAATATAGCTCTCATATTGAGAGCTGTTTCAGCAGGGAGAATTCAAGTAAAGGCAACTCTTGTTTTGCATTGTCTGCTAAGTAAGTTTCTTGGTTTTTCCCTTGCCCTGCCTTTCACACTGTCTCAGACCAGTTTGTTTACAGACTTTATTTAAAAACTGAGGGAATGAGCTGTTACTCTAATTACTGAACTAATTCACAACTTACTGTTTAACTTGTCTGCAAACAATGCTTGGTACATGATTTAATTTTAACACTGGAGAAGGTGTAGGTTCATCACATCTGTTTGTGAAGCCAATAATCTACAAACATCCCTTGGGAGGGAAAACAAAGCTTATCATGAGTTAAAAATCCTGTAATAGGCAATGAAAGGAGTAACGATATCACTTGGTTTCTGTTGGCTAAACGAGTTCCCAGATCCTGGAGCACCAAAGTGTTTTGATAATCCACTGGCAACTCTTCTGTAACAGCAACTGTCCTTCATCCAGAAACAACTAGTTCCTTATTTATTAGAGCAAGTAAGGGAGTGGAGTCAAGCCCTGGTATGCCTCACCATCACCTCATGTCAGGAGGCAATCAGCCTGTCAGTTCACTTCCCCATACCCACTAAACTCCCCCAGGATTTTATCACATCAGTCCTTCAAAACAAAACTGTAATTAAGAGTCACTGGATGCAGCATGTTTTTCTCTTATCAGTAGTAGGAACAGCAAAGCATAGAAACCATATTGCGTAAGTACCACCCTTTTTATTAATAATGATGTCCCTTTTTACAGCTTACCCTGCGCTGCCAGAATAACAAGCCTTGCCCTGTGCTAGTTGCCACTGAAGGCTCCCGCTGGCTCCAGCTGGCTGGGTGATGTACGTTGAAAGACTGCAGCGAGTAGCTCTATGGACACAGACTTTATTACGCAGCACTATCATCGTAGTACACGCAACCGAACAAACCTGGCAGCGCAGCAGGTACAGCTATGGGACTTGAGCATGCCTCGTAGCTCTGGCCCAGGGCGAGCTGGTGAGCGTGTCAGGGAGACTCTATCTCTGTGGGCACTCTGCTCACTTGCAGGTCCAACAAATCTTGCTGCCTCTCCAGCGACTGGCTGGCAGAAAGGAAGGGGCCAGTCCAGGTACATGATGTCAAGAGGTTTTTCCCAGCAGAGCTTCCTTCAGTTTCACACTAATTGTAAATAAAATAGGAAAGGGCACCAGACAGATCTTGCAACTGATTTGATTGGTGACTATGCAAGCGTGTCCTTCATCCAGCGCTGGCTGCCCTGCTCAGAGGGACTGCCGGGCTATGGAGCCCTTCATGTGCTCCCAGTTGTTATAGAGAGCGTAGAGGCCAGTAAGCGTCAGACCTGCGATGCCACCTCGTGCTATCCCACGCACTCCACCTGAAAAAGAGAAACAGATTAAAACCCATTAAAGTTACACCCAAGGAGATGGTCAGCTACAGCAACTTCCAAGAAGCTGTTCAGATCCAGAGGCATTGTAGTGAAGCACAGTTTTTCTTTTTTGAATAACTATCCAGAAAGGGTACTGTGCTAACTCTACCCTCCCCTCAAACCTGCTGCCAGGCTCAAGAAAGGTCATTCCTGATTCTGACACTAATGCTTCTGGCATGACTTGCTCTCAAACTACGTTAGCTCTACCACCTGAGTGAACGACTACAGAACACTCGAAGCAAAGCTGGCTTTTCCAAAGTCCTACTTTATCTATGCCATCTGTCCTTGACACAGGTGTTTACGGACAGATATGATCTCTTCCTGCTTTAAGAACTCCATTTAGGATTTCGGATGAGGTATACTACTTGTGTTCATCTGTTACAGTAACTAGGTTTGGGGGGGAAGGAGAAAGGGCAGGAGGGAAATAAGTCAACACAACAGCAGCTGATGTGGACATGACCTTGAATGCCAGAGATTCATGAGGGCCATCATGCAGAACTTAGCACTGCTTTTGTGTCTTTGGAATTTTAAAGACTTTTGGGAAAAAAAAATCAAGAAGATGAAAGGGATCAGCTGGCAAGAATTTACTAGGGCATACGCTGAACAACTTTATTCTTACTGTTATTCATCTGCAAAATGATCATCTTGCAATGGCAAAAATTGAGTCACACAGATGATTAAAAAAAAAAATCTCTTTATTTTTACTGCTCACTCAAGACTTGAAGCTTCTGCAAGTTGTGAAGGTAAAAATACAGGGAAAGTTTGGCTAATGTCAGCAGCCAGCACACCTGGCTGGAGCTAGGAGTCAGACAGCATCACAACTCCACTGCACCCATGCAAGGGTTGTGGTGTACAGGGGCAGAAGTAGAGACTTCTGTTGCTTTTACTAAACAGCAGAATGTTTCTACTCCTCAGCAGCAGAAAGTGCCTTCGTAAAGCCCCTAGAATGTTTTATAAATGCACAGAACACCTGAGAGTATGACCCTCAATACTAGGAAAACTTCAATGAGTTTGATTCTGCAATGTTTATCACTCCCAGCCGAAGCAAGTTAGATAATGTGTACAGTATATAGAACAAGGCCAGTTTCCACTTACAGCTAGATAAAACCTGCCCGCTTTATTAGTAAAACTGACAGTGGAACTCGGGTTCCTCAAACTTGAAAAGAAATGCACCTCAGTAATCAGTGATTTTTTTTTTTTCTTCCCATTATGGGTCATAAAGTAATAGGTTCCTCAAACTTGAAAAGAAACGCACCTCAGTAATCAGTGATTTTTTTTCTTCCCATTATGGGTCATAAAGTAATTTCACAGAATTGCATTTAGGCTTGTAGTGGGACAAGAAGCTGTTGGCGTCAGCCAGACTGAGACCGCATTACCTGTGCTGCAAGATTAAATGGAGTTCACTGGAGTTATTAAACCTACTCGTGTTGCCCAGGCACGTAATGAAACCAAGAAGCTGCCTGGGTGATAGCAGAAGTTGGACTTGGTACTAGACACATCTAGCCATAGTTTCTAGAGATTTCATTGCCAGACCAGCTGTGACAATGCAAGGGTTTTTTGGGATATAAACCTGAGTTCACTGTTGAGAACTCAACAGCTCTAAGGAAAACCATACTGATGATGCACCTACGTGCCTAAATCAGGGTTTGGGAACGCAAATAGACACTTCTGTGTTTGACAATTCATCCTGAGTATGTTGCACAAAAAGCTTTTCACATGAAGGGGTTGCAGCTGGGTACACAGAACTAACCATGTGCAAGCAGCTTCTGGCAAAAAGCCACAGGTGAAATTTAAAGGACACTTTGTGCAAAACAAATATTTGAGATCATCTGTAAAAATACTAACTCCCCATTACCTTTGGGAAAAATGAATAAAACACTAGAGAGATTGATTTTCTGCTGTTTATATTGGGAAGCAATTGCTCACAGAAGAAACCCCCAAAGAGGGCTCCTAACCACTCTGGTGTACAGGGAAATGCACAAAATGTGGAACATCCTCACAGAAGGCGATGCAGTACCGAGCTAGGACTATTCTTGTAGACTCTTCTCTCAGCCCCCAGGTTCAACTCCTCTCCTTTCCCCTTAAAATCCTACTCTTACTATAGAATAAAGGTAGGTTGAAGGCTGGTTGCAGGTTCTGAGAAGTTAGGATAGTACCAGAAAGGTATCTTTAATTTGGATAGCTGAGCTACTTTCTAGCATCCATGCAGACTTGGACACAGTGCTACTAAGATGCACTGCTCCTAACACACAAAAATGTTTATGTTTTCATGTGCTGAGGTCAGCCAGGCGAGCATGGCAGCTCTGAATCTGCTTACAAAGTGTCAATCGCCGTGCCTAAAGCAGTCTGTAGGTCTTGCAGACAACTTAGGGACTTTGCTGAAGATGGTGTTTCAGTGGAAGTCTGGGTCACAAATGGGAGCTAAACTTGTGCAGTTGCTACAGGTGCATTACTGAGTTAGAAAAAATCCAGGAAGAAAATATGTAATAAATGTTTACCAGGTTCCCTACAACTCTATTACAAAATTTTACCAGTAATTTATTTTGTAGCCGTTGCACCCGATTTCTGAACTATCCACAGTTATTACAAAAAAAAGGGAGAGAAAAAACTTTCCTTTCCTTAACTGGTTAGATTTGCATTTGAGCAAATACCTCCAGGTCTGTGGCAGACATCAAACAGTAATGCACTGTAGAATGCAGCCTGGTTGCTGGGCAGGAAATGTTAAGCCCTCTGAGAAGATTACCTTGTTTAAAAAAAAAAAAAATTCTCCACTCCCATTCCAGCTGTGTTTGCACGATAGAACAGGTTCCCACCTCTCCTCTACAGTCACTCTCTGCAAGCCTCTGATACCAAGTCTGCCTTGACAAACCCTGCTAGAAACATGGTTATAAGCCTCTAATCTTGCATGTCTGAGTAAGATAACCTGAAGTTCCAGCTGACAGACGTTTCTGAAAGCACGTATTTTGACATCAGGCAACTTGCACAATAGTTGAGAAGCTGCTATGGGTTTCCAAAGATGCATCTGATGCTCTCTAAATAAGAATTTAGCTCTCTGTTTGGCTTTAGCTGCTGCACCCTTTCACCATAGAGTATTGTCCCTCTTCTATGCATTTAAAATAGGTTTCAGGGTATGCTATGCAATGACACACAGCACTCTTAATAGCACGGCTTTGCCTTTTTTCATAGCATGATCCACTCCTAACACTGAGTTTGACTCCTACAGTAGGTAAAACCATTATTTATATTGCATAACATGAGGGCAAAATCTTCCATTTAGGACCTTACTGCCTCTATTTTCAGAATGTGTTGGTCCCCTATCCTGAGAGAGTTCCTGGGATGTTTAAAGAAAGAACCATCCAATAGCAAACATTAGAAATACCTTAACTGAAAACCCAGACCCACATATTAATGCCAAACAAAAGAATTGCAATAGTTAGGTTGTAATTAGTTTTTTGCCTTCCAATCTCTCTCTCTGATACTCAGAATGCAAATAGTTTCTCTTCCTTTAGGGCTTCCAGGAACAAAAATACTTTTAAATGGTTTAAAGGGCTTGACATTTCAAATGTACAAGGCAACCTCAGTTTTGCTCCAAATTCAAGTACAGTGACACTAACCAGACCCTCTGAGCCATCAGGCAGACATTTGTTTGAACACCTATGGGTGATCCTATGTCAATAAAAAATTCAGTTTCTTCCTGCTGCTCTGTGGGGGTAATTTTATGAAATCTTGTAAGTGTGGGCAAAGCCTGTAGATACAGAAATTACCGAGGAAACTGATAAAAACTTATTTTTGGAAACAAGGTATGTTCCAGAAAAGCATGTTCCACTTTCATTTTGCTGCAGCTAAGACAGTATAGTGATTAAAATACAGAAACAAAAAAGCTTGAAACAGGGAAAACGTCCTGTAGTTCTGTGGTGCGAAGGCTAAATTAGAAAGCCAGTAAGAATTTAGAATTTAATTTACAAGTTTAGAAGTATTAAAGCTGTTGAAATTACTTTGTAAACATTACTAAAATTCCTTGTTTTCTCACTGAGTGAAAGCAGCAGCACTTGACTGACAGGAGACTACTTCAGCTACTGTAAATGGCAGCAAGAACCCTGCAAATCCCTGCAGCACTGAGAACTCAGGTCACTGTTTCTGCTTAGCAGAGCTGGGCAGAAGGCAGCACTGCTTTCAGTGGTCATGCGTATTCTTAGACATTAGCCCTCAAGGAACAAAGAAAGCCTCAACAAGCTATTACCTGCAGTACCTGCTTGTAGTTTGCCCTTATCGCTTTCTTATTTCAGGCCTGAAACAAAATCCTTTCATGAAACACCATTTGATTAATAGTCCTATAGACCTGTTAAGTTAAAAGCAGGTTTTAACAGAGGTTCTTAAATTCTAAAATGCCTGACAGCTCAGAACTTCAGAAGTAAATCCTTTACTTGCTTTTCTCCAAATAATGCAGAAAATTAAGACATCCCAGGGTCACACCTGCAGCAGCCCGCAAAAATCTCCTCTTTCCCCCTCCCCACCAAACAGAAACAAGAAAAAAACCCCGCCTGGTCCAAAGAAAAACACAGATTGAACCCACAGGGAAGAGGCTTTTATAGCCTGAGAAGTAGTTAGCTAACACAACTGCTCTGAACTCCTACCCACTGAATGTCGCTGGCTCTGGCCCCGCTTTACTGCTAGCAATAAAACATTTAGCCCTTCTTAATTAATTCATAATGTATTGAATTTTCAGGGTTGTGTTCTGAGGTCTTAAGATGACAACTATTCCCTTCAGCTATTGCTAGCATGCAATTCCCTTTTCTTCAGATGCACATCATTTTATACCAAATTATTTAACATCTATTGTGCAAAAGGCACGAGATGCTCTATCAGGTTCCTACTGCACAGAAGTACAGTAAACAAAATAACTTAGTTTGTCCAAAGCATTACTTCATTTTTGTTACTGTTTTCCCTAACTTTAAGAGGGAAAAAATAATTATCTAAGAAAAAGAATATCTACAACCTGTGTAACCCTCAGATAAGAGGTAAAGGTTATTTAACTTTTTTGCTTACTGAAGTCTCTGTCGGGAATCTCAATGAGAAATTAATGGCTGTCACACTGGGTCAGACCAAAGTCCCACCTAGCTCAGTACTTTTTTCCTGAGTGATCAGACCTGCAGGCTTGTGGAGGAGTGCAAGATCCTCAGCCAGCTGTACCTTTGTGCTGTGATGACTGGAACCATGTGCATTCTCATGGTGGGAGGGAATAATAGTGCCACAGTGCACAGTGACAATCTTTTTGATTTTTGCTGCTTTCAGAGACTAATACAACTGTGAGAAAACAAACTAAAGAGGCTTGATTTAGAAAAGAGGTTGAAAATGCATGGAAGAGGGCTAAATGTTTGTTTGCTTTAAGATACCTTAGTAAAATATGCTTTTTATTTGTACTTAGTAACATTTATCAGAAAAACCTTGACATAACAGATTTTAATTTCTGCCTTTGCTTGAAGTTGAAGAATGAAGAATAGTATCTTATTAAATGAAAAAGCCATCCTCATAGACTTAGGATACCAGACTCCCTTTTAGCAAAACTCAAACAGGATTAACTATATTGCAGCAACATTTCTACTACATACACCATTGGCAAAGGAACACAAAGGGTTCTCCTTCATTCATCACCCAACTTCTACCCAGAACATTCAGTTTAAGCTAAGATGTGAGCTCAAAACGCTGCTTCCATGAAGTTGCAAGTATAGTGTAACAGTTAATACTGTACTCACATTGCTACATTTGGGCTAAAATCTAGTAAGTAATCTTAGTATTAAATTTCATTTGAAATGAATGTGATAATGAGAGATGACTTTAGTCAAAGGGATCACCTACTGTGCTGTTTCAAAGTTCCTCAAATTAGCTTTACTTTCACTCAGTTCAACATCTGTTAACCTAAGCCATACAGCAGCTTGAGATGGAGTCCAGCTAACAGTTGGTTCATAATGTCTAATTATCAGTATCAGATTCATTCCAAGGAGGACTATCAGAAGACTTGGGGACTTAACTGCTTTAGTCACTTGCAATGGGGAACTTTCAGTGACTAACACCACTTCCAGAGAACAGAGGAGGGCTGAACCTCCACACTCACCACCTACAGACTTGATTTTCTCACACGCAAGCTGTGTGCTAAGTAGCCTTGCACAAAGCCGCTCACAATCTAAGGGCTTTAGAATGTGCATATTTTGGAAAACCTTTTTTTGTTTGACTGCTGGCATTTTGGTAATGATTAACACCTCTACAAGGACAAATTGTGAAAACTGGGCCCACTTTGGGGCACCAAATCTCGCCTTCAAAAAGTCTCCCCACTATTTTTTTCCCAGTCTACTCATCCTCCTCAGCAAAGACTTAATCATTTGTTTCAGAAATTCAATCTAGGCTTTGTAGTGTACCCAAGAGTATTTTTCAGTGCAGCAGGGTTGCTGATGTGATTCCTCCATCGGTGCTATGTCTAAACATGAACCAGAAAGTCATAATAAAAAACCTGCCATACTTTATACAGTTTCTTCTTAAATACGTTCCTGATATCTTTACGAAACAGCAACGATGGAAGTAGGAAATCGGAGTGCTTGAACATCACCGCCTCCAACTCTGTATCCACCCTCTGTGGATTACAGAACAGTCTTTATTTGAAATGGCGTCCTTGTGGGAGTTTCCAGCTGACACTAGAACAGGGGATTTATAACAGAAATGTCCCCGATAGCTTTCAAAGTTTCCTCCTTCAATGCTGACACAACACAGCATTCCATGTAACATAGGAAACTTACAATCTTGGTATCTTCACAGATGTGAACTGATCATTTGTATATGGTTTAAATATTCAAGATTTTTTTAGGTAAACATATATTGATGCTGGGTAAAGGCTAGAGGGAAGTTTTACCATACAGAATTAGGAAGGGCATTCTGGTATAACGTGGCAGGAGAGGAAGCATGGGAGAAGCAGCAAGAGGAACAGAGCATGAAAGAAAAAAAGGAAGATAGGATTGGAATTAAATTCTTCAAACAGATGCTAAAATCATCTTTTACACTTCCAGAACTAATCCTTGACCTCTAAGGTCTACTGTGCTACTCAAATTTCCTGTGTATGGTGAAAAAAGTGTTTCTTTTGAGTTTCTGTGCACTAAAGTCCATATGTACAACACATACTTGAAATGCAATACTGTACTGAATACAGATTTATTCACTACATTCACCTTTATCATATAGCCAAACCTTTACTGAGGTACTCAAAACTTATATATTGTTCCTGTGGTAATGTCAATCTGTGGTACCCAGTAGTCCTCTAAAAAAGATGATTCCTCCACTTGTGGAGCTTGGAATATGTGTTAACAGGCATTTCGTTGATGAAACTCAGACCCTCTCTTCTGCAAACAATTCAGTATCCATCAGCAAACTAACCTTAAATCCATGCTGTTCTCAAATAACATTGTTTGTTGGTTTTGACCACTGTGCAAAGACTAGAGTCCTACCACAAGACAACAGTTCCACAAACAGCTAAGTAATAACTTCGTTTCTTTCTTCATACCTTAATGATGTGTATTTGTAAAACTGGTTTACCAAAATCTTTTGTCTTAAGGACAAAAAAAACCCCAAACAAAAACCATGTTAAATTTGAATTCCTAACCTTCACTTTCTTGAGAGTGAATTTTTTATTAACCCTTATTTGGAAAGTAATTTTGCCTTACACTCTATTTAGGATTGTACTGGATGAACATCACCATTTCATTTATGCTTAGAGAAGGTAGTCTCATTTCAATATCGCTAGTTATTGTTTCTTAACCTCAGAAGTAGACAGCATCGATTTAAGCTTTTTCCTTTTTGGCATTAAAAAGATCATTTCAATCAGCTGAAAAGTGACACTTAACTACATTGCATCTAGAAGATGACTGAGACCTATTAGTTCAATATCCCTTAGCCCACACAC